TGAGTCCGCCCCATTTTGGCTATTCTTCTGTCCATTCCAATGGTAGGTTTTTTCACTTTCTTCGGGCGTCTTTCAGGTTTTGGTTGCCATTATTTAAAGCATTTGCCATCATTTTAGCTGAGCAGCCGATAATTTTCTGTACTTCTTTATATGGTTTTCCCCTCCAATCAACTTTTTAATCAAGGTACGCTGTTCTTACTGAACAATGTCTGGAACGACCCATTTGCCCTCAGAATTTCAGAGAGAAATGCACTGTAACCAGCTTGTCCAACATTTGTTGCCTTCCTTCCTTAAATAAGGGCAATAACTGCCACCTGTTTATCAAAGAATGAATGACCTCACTAATAGAAACTCCACACGGCTAATTATTGTGAAACACGCCCCTTTCAATGAGTGATTCAATGACACAGAATCAGCAGCATGCATGTCATGATTGTTGGGTCTGTTGGATTTCTATGACTCTACTACACCTGCTAGGAAATTATTTGCCATGTAGAAATATAATTTCCACCAAAAACAGAGATTGATCCGGTTAGTGATGTCTGACGGCTAGTATTCTCAACACAACTGTATATACATCGAGGATACAAATTATAGACCGATCATTTCTCTGTAAGTGGGGCGAACGTTTTACCATCTGCAGGGGAGCAAATCCGTATTTTCCACACTGTAATCAGAGGTAGCATGGCTCTTCCTGATGGTCCCAATATGGGGCCCCAGAGTGACAGAGCCCCCACATGTAATCAGAGGTGGAATGGCCCCTCCCTACAGTCCCTATATAGGGCCCCCAGAGTGACGGGGATCCCACAAATAATCAGAGGTGGAATGGCCCCTCCCTACAGTCCCTATATAGGGCCCCAGAGTGACAGAGCCCCCACATATAATCAGAGGTGGAATGGCCCCTCCCTACAGTCCCTATATAGGGCCCCAGAGTGACAGAGCCCCCACATGTAATCAGAGGTGGAATGGCCCCTCCCTACAGTCCCTATATAGGGCCCCAGAGTGACAGAGCCCCCATATGTAATCAGAGGTGGAATGGCCCCTCCCTACAGTCCCTATATAGGGCCCCAGTGTGACAGAGCCCCCACATATAATCAGAGGTGGAATGGCCCCTCCCTACAGTCCCTATATAGGGCCCCAGAGTGACGGGGATCCCACATGTAATCAGAGGTGGAATGGCCCCTCCCTCCCTACAGTCCCTATATAGGGCCCCCAGAGTGACAGAGCCCCCACATGTAATCAGAGGTGGAATGGCCCCTCCCTACAGTCCCTATATAGGGCCCCAGTGGTGACAGAGCCCCCCCCCACATATAATCAGAGGTGGAATGGCCCCTCCCTACAGTCCCTATATAGGGCCCCAGAGTGACAGAGCCCCCACATATAATCAGAGGTGGAATGGCCCCTCCCTACAGTCCCTATATAGGGCCCCAGAGTGACGGGGATCCCACATATAATCAGAGGTGGAATGGCCCCTCCCTACATTCCCTATATAGGGCCCCAGAGTGACAGAGCCCCCACATGTAATCAGAGGTGGAATGGCCCCTCCCTACAGTCCCTATATAGGGCCCCAGAGTGACAGAGCCCCCACATATAATCAGAGGTGGAATGGCCCCTCCCTACAGTCCCTATATAGGGCCCCAGAGTGACGGGGATCCCACATATAATCAGAGGTGGAATGGCCCCTCCCTACAGTCCCTATATAGGGCCCCAGAGTGACGGGGATCAGACGGTGGAAGCCCCTCCCACATATAATCAGAGTGGTGGAATGGGCCCCTCCCTACAGTCCCCTATATAGGGCCCCAGAGTGACGAGCCCCCACATGTAATCAGAGGTGGAATGGCATAGGGCCCCTCCCTACAGTCCCTATATAGGGCCCCAGAGTGACAGAGCCCCCACATATAATCAGAGGTGGAATGGCCCCTCCCTACAGTCCCTATATAGGGCCCCAGAGTGACGGGGATCCCACATATAATCAGAGGTGGAATGGCCCCTCCCTACAGTCCCTATATAGGGCCCCAGAGTGATGGGGATCCCACATATAATCAGAGGTGGAATGGCCCCTCCCTACAGTCCCTATATAGGGCCCCAGAGTGACAGAGCCCCCACATGTAATCAGAGGTGGAATGGCCCCTCCCTACAGTCCCTATATAGGGCCCCAGAGTGACAGAGCCCCCACATATAATCAGAGGTGGAATGCCCCTCCCTACAGTCCCTATATAGGGCCCCAGAGTGACAGGGGATGCCCCCACATATAATCAGAGGTGGAATGGCCCCTCCCTACAGTCCCTATATAGGGCCCCAGAGTGACGGGGATCCCACATATAATCAGAGGTGGAATGGCCCCTCCTACAGTCCCTATATAGGGCCCCAGAGTGACCCTCCCATTACAGTCCCCAGTCCCTATATAGGGCCCCAGAGTGATGGGGATCCCACATATAATCAGAGGTGGAATGGCCCCTCCCTACAGTCCCTATATAGGGCCCCAGAGTGACAGAGCCCCCATGTAATCAGAGGTGGAATGGGCCCTCCCTACAGTCCCTATATAGGGAGGGGCCCACATATAAATCAGAGTAGAGGGATCGTGGTTGGATGGCCCCTCCCTACAGTCCCTATATAGGGCGCCCAAGTGGCCCCAGGAATGACACACATTGTACGTGGTGGAATGGGTCCCTATATAGGGCCCCAGAGTGACAGAGAGAATGGAATGGCCCCTCCCTACAGTCCCTATATAGGGCCCCAGAGTGACGGGGAATCCCACCTATAATCAGAGGTGGGGCCCCTCCCTACAGTCCCTATATCAGAGTGATTGGGGATCCACCACAATATAATCAGAGGTGGAATGGCCCCCTCCCTACAGTCCTATATAGGGCCCCAGAGAGTGACAGAGCCCCAACATATAATCAGAGGTGGAATGGACCCTCCCTACACCTATATAGGGCCCCAGTGTGACAGACATACAGTGTCCGGGGTGGGGGGGGAGGGAATTGGGGGCCCCCACCGGAGCAGCCAGGTACATGGAGACAGAGGGAGTGCTGACCTGCCATGACGGAGGGAACTCCACCTGAACGGACGAGGGACTAGCAGCGCTGGACGGAGACGCCACAGCAGCACATAGAAGAGAACAGCAGAGATGGCGGCGTCACCATACACAGCAATACAACCGAATCAGACAGATTATGGGGAACATCGGGGGGGAGGGGGCATTGCTGACAAATGCCGGCTGCCTGGCTCTCATGCTGACCCAGATATGGCGGGGGATCAGCACGACAACCAATCAGCCACCATTTTTTAGAAGGGGGTCAGCAATGGAGCCCCATAAATCACATACACCATACAATCCGATTGTACAATCCTCTGTGGATGGAGGGGGGAGACCCCCTGTCAGTGTTGGATGGGGGAGGGGGGAGACCCCCTGTCAATGTTGGATGGGGGAGGGGGAGACCCCCTGTCAATGTTGGATGGGGGAGGGGTGAGACCCCCTGTCAATGTTGGATGGAGGGGGAGGGGTGAGACCCCCTGTCAGTGTTGGATGGAGGGGGGAGGGGGGAGACCCCCTGTAGGTGTTGGATGGAGGGGGGGAGGGGTGAAACCCCCTGTCGGTGTTGGATGGAGGGGGGAGGGGTGAGACCCCTGTCGGTGTTGGATGGAGGGGTGAGACCCCCTGTCGGTGTTGGATGGAGGGGGAGGGGTGAGACCCCCTGTCAGTGTTGGATGGAGGGGGGAGGGGTGAGACCCCCTGTCAGTTGTTGGGATGGAGGGGGAGGGGTGAGACCCCCTGTCAGTGTTGGATGGAGGGGGGGAGGGGTGAGACCCCCTGTCAGTGTTGGATGGAGGGGGGGAGGGGTGAGACCCCCTGTCGGTGTTGGATGGAGGGGGGAGGGGTGAGACCCCCTGTCGGTGTTGGATGGAGGGGGAGGGGGAGACCCCCCGTCAGTGTTGGATGTTGGGGTGAGACCCCCCCCCCCCCGTCAGTGTTGGATGTTGGGGTGAGACCCCCCCCCCCCCGTCAGTGTTGGATGGAGGGGGAGGGATGAGACCCCCTGTCGGTGTTGGATGGAGGGGGAGGGGAGACCCCCTGTCAGTGTTGGATGTTGGGGTGAGACCCCCCCCCCGTCAGTGTTGGATGTTGGGGTGAGACCCCCCCCCCGTCAGTGTTGGATGGAGGGGGGGGATGAGACCCCCTGTCGGTGTTGGATGGTGGGGGGGGGGGGGGGGGGAGGGGGAGACCCCCTGTCAGTGTTGGATGTTGGGGGATGAGACCCCCCCCGTCAGTGTTGGATGTTGGGGTGAGACCCCCCCCCCCGTCAGTGTTGGATGTTGGGGTGAAACCCCCCCCCCCCGTCAGTGTTGGATGGAGGGGGGAGGGGTGAGACCCCCTGTTGGTGTTGGATGGAGGGGAGGGGTGAGACCCCCTGTCGGTGTTGGATGGAGGGGGGGAGGGGTGAGACCCCCTGTCAGTGTTGGATGGATGTTGGATGGGGGGAGGGTGAGACCCCCTGTCAGTGTTGGATGGAGGGGGAGACCCCCCGTCAGTGTTGGATGTTGGGGTGAAACCCCCCTCCCCCGTCAGTGTTGGATGGAGGGGGAGGGATGAGACCCCCTGTCAGGTGCTATAGCCATCTGTGCCCCCGGTAGGGAGATCCCCCCCCCCCCCGCCCTCTATGTGTCCTGGGAACCGTTATCTTGAAAGTGAAAGAAAATCCCACATTTTGTGTTGTCACCAGAACAGGAATAGAGGGGAAATCTTCCAATGGGGACACGGGGGGATTTCCTCTCACTTCCTGTTTGGTGATAGGACAGAAAGTGAAGGGGAAATCTCCCCCATGGGGACACAGATGTTCTAACACCAGCCCCCCCCCCCCCCCCCCCCTTTACTCCATCCAAAATTTAAAAAAAGATTTGCTCGGAGTTCCACTTGGAAGGATTTCATCCAATCGGATTGTGCTGTGTGTAGTCACCCTTTGGTTTCCTTTACCCCCCGACTGATCAGAGTCTCACCTGATTGGCTGTGTGTTGTTCCGTCCCTTCCAGCTGGATTTTAATCTCTGGATAGGAGTCTCCGCCCACTTTCTGGACATCCAACTGGGGAGCGCGGGAACCCTGCAATCATGGAGGAGAGGGGGTGTCAGAGGGAGTTCTGGGGTCTGTTCCCGACCCGTCCATCCCCCCATTGTCCTGCACAACACGGGGGGGGGGGGGGGGGGGGGGAAGGGGGGATCGCACCGCGCGGTGACATCTCGGTACGATGGGGCAGACGTGGGATCACCTGATGAACTGCCTCCGCTGGCGGTGCTGACGCTGCTGCCGCTGTCCTCCAGCCATGTGCTGTACATGAAGGAGTCCCGCTTGTTGCCGTTTCCTGAAGCCGAAACACTTTTCCTGACAAAAAGAAACAGATTTCACAGATCTAGAACTCCGGTCATATCCGCCCCATTCTTCTATCTCCAGCACCATCTTTGTTCAGGAGTCATCCTGGGTCACCACCTATTCCTACAGTGAGATGAGACCATCCTGTAATCCCGGTGCCTGTGCAGTTCCTGGCCGTGTTCACAACTGTCTGACACAGATCAGCCCCTGCTGCAGCCTCTCACCTTGTGATTTGCAACAAAGTTACAATGTACAGCCAGTAACTTTGTAGAAGGAGGAGGAGTCATTTCCTCAGTCTCCCCTCCCCCAGTGATCAGACTGTACATTGAGGAAATGACTCCTCCTCCTTTTACAAAGTTTACATGTACAGTCTGATCAGACTTTCTATACTGGAGGAAAAGTTGATGTTTTTGTAGCTCTTCTAAGTAAAGTTTTTATATTCAAGGAATGACAGAACACTAAACCCCTCGGAACATTCCGGGACCTCTCAGGCCCTCCGGACAGCACAGAACTCGTCTTCTTACCATCCCGGCGTCATCCTCATCCAGCAGTTCGTTCTCTTCCACTACGCTGGCGAAGCTGCTGGCGCTGGACGAGGAGCGGGAGAAATCTCGCTGGTTTTCCGTCCGGGATCCGGATTCCATTCTGAAAGACAGAGACATTCTGTCACGTGACCTGTGTGCACCAGGGATCCTGGGGGGCGGGCAGCCCAGATAAGGGGGAGGGGACAGTACCTGTTCTTGGTGGTGGGCATCTCCGGGGAGCTGTGATTGGAGGATTCCTCGGATTTGGGCTCCTGGGAGGCGTGGCCGCTGTCTGGGGTCTTCTGGGGTCCTGTTGGGCTTTCCCTGTAAAATATGAAATTACTTTTGTGTTGCCGGGAATGTGGAACCTCCTGGGATCAGACGGGTCATGTCCTGGGACACTCTGCTTTACGTAATGTAGATCTACATCACTGACCGTGCCGGACTTATCCCAGGGATCTCTAAATCTGAGCAATCACTGAGACCAACTCTGCCCTGAGCGATCACCGAGACCAACTCTGCCCTGAGCGATCACCGAGACCAACTCTGCCCTGAGCGATCACCGAGACCAACTCTGCCCTGAGCGATCACCGAGACCAACTCTGCCCTGAGCGATCACTGAGACCAACTCTGCCCTGAGCAATCACCGAGACCAACTCTGCCCTGAGCGATCACCGAGACCAACTCTGCCCTGAGCGATCACCGAGACCAACTCTGCCCTGAGCGATCACCGAGACCAACTCTGCCCTGAGCGATCACTGAGACCAACTCTGCCCTGAGCGATCACTGAGACCAACTCTGCCCTGAGCAATCACCGAGACCAACTCTGCCCTGAGCGATCACCGAGACCAACTCTGCCCTGAGCGATCACCGAGACCAACTCTGCCCTGAGCGATCACCGAGACCAACTCTGCCCTGAGCGATCACTGAGACCAACTCTGCCCTGAGCGATCACCGAGACCAACTCTGCCCTGAGCGATCACTGAGACCAACTCTGCCCTGAGCGATCACCGAGACCAACTCTGCCCTGAGCGATCACTGAGACCAACTCTGCCCTGAGCGATCACTGAGACCAACTCTGCCCTGAGCGATCACCGAGACCAACTCTGCCCTGAGCGATCACCGAGACCAACTCTGCCCTGAGCGGTCACCGAGACCAACTCTGCCCTGAGCAATCACTGAGACCAACTCTGCCCTGAGCAATCACTGAGACCAACTCTGCCCTGAGCGATCACTGAGACCAACTCTGCCCTGAGCGATCACTGAGACCAACTCTGCCCTGAGCGATCACTGAGACCAACTCTGCCCTGAGCGATCACTAAGACCAACTCTGCCCTGGGCGATCACCGATTCCTCCAGATCCACTATCCCAGAGGGATCCCCGAGAAATCAACTCTGCCCTGAGCGATCACTGAGACCAACTCTGCCCTGAGCGATCACTGAGACCAACTCTGCCCTGAGCGATCACTGAGACCCACTCTGCCCTGAGCGATCAGCGATCCTCCAAATCCACTACCCTGGAGGGATCCCGAGAAATCAACTCTGCCCTGAGCGATCACCGATTCCTCCAGATCCACTATCCCGGAGGGATCCTGAGAAATCAACTCTGCCCTGAGCAATCACTGAGACCAACTCTGCCCTGAGCGATCCTCCAGATCCACTGTGCTGGAGGGATCCCGAGAAATCAACTCTGCCCTGAGCGATCACCCATTACTCCAGATCCACTATCCTGGAGGGATCCCGAGAAATCAACTCTGCCCTGAGCGATCACCGATCCTCCAGATCCACTATCCTGGAGGGATCCCGAGAAATCAACTCTGCCCTGAGCGATCACCGATCCTCCAGATCCACTATCCTGGAGGGATCCCGAGAAATCAACTCTGCCCTGAGCAATCGCAGATTCCTCCAGATCCACTATCCTAGGGGGGATCATTGGAGATCAATTTTGCGTTGAGCAAACACTGACTCCTCCAGACCGACTGTCCTGGAGGGATCCCTGGAAATCAACTCTCCCCTGGGCGATCACTGATCTCTCTGGATCAACTACACTGGAGGGATCATTGGAGATCAAGTCTAACCTGAGCAATCACAGATCCCTCCCGATGGACGGTCCCCTGAGCTATAATGGATCCCTATAGATCGGCTCCTCACCTCTTCTCCTGGACCTCCTGTATGTTCTCTATGCCGATGGCGCTGCTCCGCCTCGAGCTGAACGGTCCGGACTTCTTCCTGGTGGGACTTTTTCCCGGAACGATGAGGGACTGGAAGAGATGGAATGATGTCACTTCCCAGAAATAGAACTACCTCTATCCCCAACACGCTACTGCCTGTGTTACCGACATTCCTCCCATCAGATCCCGTCACGTATGTGTCTGCTCAGCTCCAATATAGAAGATGCTGCACTCCGCAGGGGGAAGGTATTGATTGATATTGGAAGGAGAGATCATTGGCCCGGGGACCATCGGATCCCCTCCGGGGGGTCAGGGAGGAGAGATCATTGGCCCGGGGACTATCGGATCCCCTCCGGGGGGTCAGGGAGGAGAGATCATTGGCCCGGGGACCATCGGATCCCCTCCGGGGGGTCAGGGAGGAGAGATCATTGGCCCGGGGACTATCGGATCCCCTCCGGGGGGTCAAGGAGGAGAGATCATTGGCCCGGGGACCATCGGATCCCCTCCGGGGGGTCAGGGAGGAGAGATCATTGGCCCGGGGACCATCGGATCCCCTCCGGGGGGTCAGGAAGGAGAGATCATTGGCCCAGGGGGACCATCGGATCCCCTTCGGGGGGTCAGGGAGGAGAGATCATTGGCCCGGGGACCATCGGATCCCCTCCGGGGGGTCAGGAAGGAGAGATCATTGGCCCGGGGACGATCGGATCCCCTCCGGGGGGTCAGGGAGGAGAGATCATTGGCCCAGGGACGATCGGACCCCCTCCGGGGGGTCAGGGAGGAGAGATCATTGGCCGGGGACGATCGGATCCCCTCCGGGGGGGTCAGGGAGGAGAGATCATTGGCCCGGGGACTATCGGATCCCCCTCCGGGGGGTCAGGAAGGAGAGATCATTGGCCCGGGGACCATCGGATCCCCTCCGGGGGGTCAGGGAGGAGAGATCATTGGCCCGGGGACCATCGGATCCCCTCCGGGGGGTCAGGGAGGAGAGATCATTGGCCCGGGGACCATCGGATCCCCTCCGGGGGGTCAGGGAGGAGAGATCATTGGCCCGGGGACCATCGGATCCCCTCCGGGGGGTCAGGGAGGAGAGATCATTGGCCCGGGGACCATCGGATCCCCTCCGGGGGGTCAGGGAGGAGAGATCATTGGCCCGGGGACCATCGGATCCCCTCCGGGGGGTCAGGAAGGAGAGATCATTGGCCCGGGGATGATCGGATCCCCTCCGGGGGGTCAGGGAGGAGAGATCATTGGCCCGGGGACCATCGGATCCCCTCCGGGGGGTCAGGAAGGAGAGATCATTGGCCGGGACCATCAGATCCCCTCTCCGGGGGGGTCAGGGAGGAGAGATCATTGGCCCGGGGACCATCGGATCCCCTCCGGGGGGTCAGGAAGGAGAGATCATTGGCCGGGACCATCGGATCCCCTCCGGGGGGTCATGGAGGAGAGATCATTGGCCCGGGGATGACCATCGGATCCCCTCCGGGGGGTCATGGAAGCAGAGATCATTGGCCGGGACCATCGGATCCCCTCCGGGGGGTCATGGAGCAGAGATCATTGGCCCGGGGATGATCGGATCCCCTCCGGGGGGTCATGGAGCAGAGATCATTGGCCCGGGGACCATCGGATCCCCTCCGGGGGGTCAGGAAGGAACGTCTCTTGTAGTACATTGGCCCGGGCTTGTTCTGCCTTCCTCTGGATCTACAGTGGCTGCGGGTTGTGCAGGTGGAGGGGTTCTTCTATTGGTGGAACTCCATGTTCAGTTATTGGGGCCCCCGAATTGGTTTCCACGATGTGTATTTGTAACTTTGTAACAATCTAAAACCAAATTATTTGGGGGGAACAGTAAGTGTGTTGGATGAGTAGCGGGCGAGAGGCTGTGTGGGATCCCGCGGATCGCTGGGCGGTAAATATACAGATAAATTAATTTCCCCCCCCCATACAACCCTTCTGTGAGCAGGAGAGAACATCCACCTCTTCTATGGTTCCTATGCCTATGGCACTTCCGCGGCGTCCATGCCGGCTGGGCGTTTTCCCTGGCACAAGCAACGACTAGCGGGCAGGAGGAGCGAGGCACAAAGACACAGAGAGGAGATGAAATGTGGGGCAGGAAAGGTTCATGGAGGGAAAGAATGTCACCAATGGGACCGGACAGGAGAGACGGGAGAGAAAAAGAGAGAAAACCAGTCATCATGCACAGAATGTCCTCAGAAATGGTTCATCGCCAGATATTGTATGGTGGAGCTTATGGCTGAGATGGTGGACTACTGAGGGATGATGGCGTGTATACCGGGGCCACCAGGGGCCAGGGACACCTCCCTCCAGGGGCCGGGGACGCCTCCCTCCAGGGGCCGGGGACGCCTCCCTCCAGGGGCCGGTAATGCCTCCCTCCAGGGACCGGTAATGCCTCCCTCCAGGGGCCGGTAATACCTCCCTCCAGGGGCCGGGGACACCTCCCTCCGGGGACTGGTAATACCCCCCTCCAGGGGCCGGGGGGACGCCTCCCTCCAGGGGCCGGTAATACCCCCCTCCAGGGACCGGTAATACCTCCCTCCAGGGGCCGGGGATGCCTCCCCCTGGGGGCTGGTAACGCTCCCTCCGGGGGCCGGGGACGCCTCCCTCCAGGGGCCGGGGACGCCTCCCTCCGGGGGCTGGGGATTCCTCCCTCCAGGGGCCCGGGGGCTCCCTCCGGGGGTGGTAATACCTCCCTCCAGGGGCCCGGGACGCCTCCCTCCGGGGGCTGGTAATACCTCCCTCCAGGGGCCGGGGACGCCTCCCTCCGGGGACTGGTAATACCTCCTCCAGGGGCCGGGGACGCCTCCTCCGGGGACTGGTAATACCTCCCTCCAGGGGCCGGGGACGCCTCCCTCCGGGGGCTGGTAATACCTCCCTCCAGGGGCCGGGGACGCCTCCCTCCGGGGGCTGGTAATACCTCCTGGATGGGAACTATTTCCTCCATGGGCTGGGAACACTTACTTCCAGAGGACGACAACACCTCCTACCCTGGACAGGAACACCTTTTTCCATTGGCTTCAAACACCTCCTATCTGGACTGGGGAAACCTTCTGCCTAGAATGGGAACGCCTCCCTCAATGAGCTGGGAACACCTCCCCCGTGGGCTGGGAACACCTCCCCCGTGGGCTGGGAACACCTCCCCCGTGGGCTGGGAACACCTCCCCCGTGGGCTGGGAACACCTCCCCCCGTGGGCTGGGAACACCTCCCCCGTGGGCTGGGAACACCTCCCCCGTGGGCTGGGAACACCTCTGCATCTAGGAACACCTCCCCCGTGGGCTGGGAACACTTCCCCATCTGGGAACACCTCCCCTGTGGGCTGGGAACACCTCTGCATCTGGGAACACCTCCCCCGTGGGCTGGGAACACTTCTCCATCTGGGAACACCTCCCCCGTGGGCTGGGAACACTTCCCCCGTGGGCTGGGAACACCTCCCCCGTGGGCTGGGAACACTTCCCCCGTGGGCTGGGAACACTCCCCCGTGGGCTGGGAACACTTCCCCGTGGGCTGGGAACACCTCCCCCGTGGGCTGGGAACACTCCCCCGTGGGCTGGGAACACTCCCCCGTGGGCTGGGAACACCTCCCCCGTGGGCTGGGAACACTTCCCCCGTGGGCTGGGAACACTTCTCCATCTGGGAACACCTCCCCCGTGGGCTGGGAACACCTCCCCCGTGGGCTGGGAACACCTCCCCCGTGGGCTGGGAACACTTCTCCATCTGGGAACACCTCCCCCGTGGGCTGGGAACACTTCTCCATCTGGGAACACCTCCCCCATGGGCTGGAAACACTTCCCCCGTGGGCTGAGAACACTTCTCCATCTGGGAACACTTCCCCCGTGGGCTGAGAACACTTCTCCATCTGGGGAACACCTCCCCCGTGGGCTGGGAACACCTCCCCCGTGGGCTGGGAACACTTCTCCATCTGGGAACACCTCCCCCGTGGGCTGGGAACACCTCCCCCGTGGGCTGGGAACACCTCCCCCGTGGGGCTGGGAACACCTCCCCCGTGGGCTGGGAACACCTCCCCCGTGGGCTGGGAACACCTCCCCCGTGGGCTGGGATCACCTCCCCCGTGGGCTGGGAACACTTCTCCATCTGGGAACACCTCCCCCGTGGGCTGGGAACACTTCTCCATCTGGGAACCTCCCCCGTGGGCTGGAAACACCCCCGTGGGCTGGGAACACCTCTGCATCTGGGAACACCTCCCCCGTGGGCTGGGAACACCTCTGCATCTGGGAACACCTCTCCCGTGGGCTGGGAACACCTCCCCCGTGGGCTGGGAACACCTCCCCCGTGGGCTGGGAACACCTCCCCCGTGGGCTGGGAACACCTCATGAAGCCCCACTAGAGGTGAAGTATGGATGACTGAAGATCTCCAATTCCTTGTTCTATGTCCTCTCCCGGAATCAGCTGCACCCCATGAGAGCC